ACATTTAGTTTTGTCATCTGTGTGTCTCCAAACTGCCAGAAGTACTTGTAACCAAGCCGAAGGCCTGGCCACTAAAGATGTTTGTCTGTACAAGATCTTACCACCTGACGCCTCAGACTCAGTAAATAAACGTCCAGTCTTCTCGACTGTGCTCCAATCTCTTCACTACTACAGTGCTCGTCAACTCCAAGGCTGGGGGACTGATTACCTCATCTTTCATATATAGTTCTACTGTCTTCATTTGTGTCCTTGCAATTTGTTTTGTTAAAGCCCACTGGTTGGCAAAAAAATTAAATAAAGATACCTGAAGATGCACATGCGTTCTAATTTTCTTTTTTCCAGTGTGTCGGTTCCACTATCTGGTGATTTAAGATCGAATTTTGTATGCAAAGATTTAATAGCTCGTGTGTGTGTGAATTTTTATATGAGCTGCCTTCTGGGGTTATTCTTTGCTTAAAACTTTTTTGATACATTCCTCCCATTTTAGATGTTCATAAGTTTAAATCACCAGCAGCAAGATATCTGGGGCAGGAGTTGGGAGATTTTTCCGTCAGGTGGATCAATTTTCATAAGCGATTCCTCGGATTTGTTGGGAAAGTTGCATCTCAGCGAGGCTTGTATACAACCACAATGACGAGTTTTTTTTTACAATCTTTACATGCTAAAAAATTCAATTCATCATTTGATTGGATTTTAGTAATTCCAAGCAAATGGTGACTATTGCATTAAAAGGCCACCTTCCTTCCTTGTTGCCTGGAGAGTTATTACGCGAGAGAGGTGAGAGTTGTAAGAGCAGTGAGGAGTGCTAAAGGAAAGTAAAGCAAAGGCTTGTTCTTTCTTGCTGGATTATTGCTGCACAATAACAGCACCTTTCAAGGCAGGTGAATGAAATTTGCCGACCTAGAAAATGTACAGAGAACTTTCACGGCCCACTTAACGGAGATTAAAAACCTCATTACTGGGAGCGCTTGAGGTTCCTAAACCTGTATTCCCTGCGAAGCTGGAGGAGAGATACATGATTATATACACCTGGAAAGCATAGAGGACTAGTACCGATCTTGCTCACGAAATCACTCACTATTGAAAGCAAAAAGATTGGCAGGACGATGCGCATCACACCAATGAAAAGCAGGGGTGTCCTAGCCGTTAAGAGGACCAATACCATTAAGTGTCAGGGGCCCGACCCGAGACTCGTTCAACTGGCTCCAGCACCCATAGGGGGATTACCAACAGAAACCCTGGCAGTCTTCAAGTGGCACTGGAAAAGAATAAAGGCGGGTCCTGATCAGCCGGGCTGTGGCTCGTCTTAATTGGGTTTGCGTGCAGCCGGCAGCAACAGCCTGGCTTGATCAGGGATCTGATCCACACAGGAGGTCCTGGTCACAGACCGGGCCGCGGGGCGTTGACCCCGGTACTCTCTCCAGGTAAACTCCAGGTAAATCTGTAGCTGTCATAAGTCAGAGGGAGTCTATGCCAAAGGTGGTGTCAGCTAGAAGGGAAGATAATGTTTATTCTCTATAAGGATTACATTGCTGAGTTTAAAGAAATTTGGTTATTGTGTGCGTTTAACATTAGTAAAATTGTGTTTACAGAGTGTACCACTAGAACGCTTGCTATGGACTAGGCATTTCGGGCATACTTAGTTTTATTCTTAATTGAAAATTATTACAAATTATGAGGTAAGTTGGTATTAGGATAAGTGACTAAATATAGTTTGTAAGTTTAGCAATGTGATTGCTTTGGTTTTTAGGCACATTACATAGTTTTCAGTATTGGGAGTAATCACAGGCTTATTATTTTAAGATTTAGTTTAATATTTATGTTTATGGTTCAATTGGAGTGTAGTGAGGAAAGTTGTGAACCACCCAGGGTGGTATTCGTTGTAGTTAGTTGGACGGGGTTGTATCAGGGAGATAGATGTTTTCTAATGGTAGTTTGAAGGGGGGGGGAGATGAATGTGTCTGCAGTATAGAGTTTCATCAGGATAGGGTATTACAGATTTTAGGGCTTTGACTTACTTTGTATTTTTGTAAGGTTTAGTCGGTCACGAGGGAATGATCGTAGAGTTGTTTGTTTGTCTGGTTGTTTTGGCCTGTGGAGTTCTGTCAAACTATCATGTAAGCGGTTAGGTCATATGTTATTTTAGTGTTTAAGGCCCTGTAGATGTAGATTGCACAGTAGTAAGTGTGGAGGTACTGAAACTGGGAGTAAGTTTAGGTCTTGTAGTTCCCAGTGGGGGGGGGCTGTTGCACAGGGATGCGGATTTGTGATTATTCTTACTGCAGCTTTTTTGTTGGGTTATTATTGGCTTTAGGTGTGTTGGCTTGCAGTTGATCCCACAAGCACAAATGCAATAGGTGAGGTCTTGGATAAATAAGGTGAGTAGGTATAGTGTGAGAAGGGCATTGTGCGGCACGTAAGTTTCGTATCTTGGAGAGGATCCCAACCGTTTTGGATTCTTTTTTGGTTATATGCTGGGATATGGGTGCTGAAATCAGGTTGTTGTCAAGGTAAGCTAGGAATTTTCCCCCATTATTTTGGTAATTTGGAGTGTTGTCAATATTAATGTTAATTTTAGTGCATTCTCCTGCTCTGCTACCAAACATAATATAGTAGGTTTTGTCACGTGTTAAGAGTAAGTTTATTGGCTGTCATCCAAGTCGATATTTTAATCAAGATCCTATTCACAATGGTGTTGAGGTGGCAAGATTAGGGTGTGAGAGATGACATAAGTCGTGTCCATCAGCAATGGAGAATGGGTCTTCACGGTGTTGGGATAAGTTTGGAAGGGTATTGATGTATTTGAGGATGAGCAGGGGACCAAGGCACACTTCCTGCGGAACTCCTGTATCATTGGCCGTGTTGACTGATGCTGTGTCTTTAATGGTGACGTACGATACCTATTAGTAATCGTAAGATTTGAAATAAGCAAGCGCATGGCCTCTTATACCGTAATGATCACAGTTTGTGGAGTAGGATGTCGTGGTCTACGTTGTCAAAAGATTTTTCTTAGGTCATAATAGATTCCTTGTGGAATTCCTTAATTTCCAGTTGCTGTTGTAAAAGAAGATCTAGCATTTTTATGGATTGCTTATCTTTAGTGCGTTTCTATTTTTCCTGAATCCAAATTGGCAGGGTTGAGTATGTTTTGAGCCGTATATAAATGAATAAGTCTCCTGTGCACGAGTTTTCTCAAAGATTTTGATAGCCAATGGTAAGTTAGATATTTGGCCTATAGTTGTTTAAGTCTGTAGGGTCACCACCTTTATGTATTGTGTAAACCTCTTGCCATCTTGGTAGTTTCGGGAAGGTGTAGTCTCCTAGTGACTTGTTAAAAAGTAATGAATTTTGCATGCGAAGGAAATGGGCCGCTCGCTAGTTCAGTATATGGTGGGACCTGGGTCAGATTCCCCGACGTTATTTTTAAGTGACTACTTATATAATTCAATGAACTTCCGTGGGCCTCAGTTGGTGCTAGATAGAAGGAATTAGGGAAATTCCCTTCTAGGGAGTCCCCGGCATGGGCATTGGTTTTGGGAATTTTACTGGCGTGATTAGGATCCTATGTTTGAGAGAAGTCGTTTATCGTGTTAGCTGCTGTATGTGGGATGTAGTGTGTTTCATTAGTTTAGTTTGGAACAATATCTTGGTTTTTCCAGTTTGTGGGATACTAGAATTGAGAGAGTGTTTCCAGGTCTTTTTTATATCTCCTTAGTGTCTGTGAATCTACTGGAGTTGTATGTTGTTTGGCTTTTCTTTATACTTGGTTGAGAGATGATGAATAGTGTTTAAGAGTATCTTTGTGTATTAAGCCTGTCTATATTGTTTTCATATTGGTGTTTCTTGTCAATGGATTTCAGAATGGTGCTGGTTAGCCATGGGCAACCAAGCCGTTTGTTGTGATCTGTTTTGTTTTTATAGCAATGTTTGTTGTAAAGTGTGTTAGTGTGGTGACACGTTGGAGTAATTCGCACTGCTTGTTATAGGAATATGGCAAACTGAAACTGGAACCTGACTATTCACACAGAGAGTGAGAACCAGGGTGCCCCTCATGAGATACCAATGCAAAAACGGGAAACGATAGTCTCATCCATGACACATTGATGATAAGAAGAAATCCAGGATCCTAACCTGCTTGATAGAATGTAATGTTTTATGAATCAACTCAGACCACGTGATAGTTGCCAACTTTTTGAATTTTGCCTGATAAAATCTAGATAATATAACCCACTAACCCTCCATACAACTGTCATCCTTCTCCCTGAAAGCATTTAGAATGGCACCTCTGATTGGCTTTTCAGCCATCCAAAATGAGCCAACGGTTCATTTTCTCATTGTTAATGGTGGCCATGTGTGCTGAATGTTGCATATAATCTCAAGCATATAAATTCACATATACACAAGTATTATGTATATAGCCAGTTCAGTCTTCGATACAAGATGGTGTCAGTGGCATCACTCACTTTACTTGTAATTCAAATATAAGTTCATGTTCTTCTGAAGAAATTAAAATATTTTGACAGAAAATGTAAATTTCTGCATTTTTAAAGCACTGTACATGTTACTTATATGAATGTACAACTGTATGGTGTATTTATGTAAATAAAAAATGCCATGTAAACTACACGTTTTGATACAACTGGAAGATACAGTTTAAATGTCCGAAACTGTAAAAACAAACACAACATTCATAATTTATAACTCTGAATGCTCAGTTATTTCTATGTAGTAGTAATTTACTACCATCCACACCAATCAGTATGTTTCAAGCACCTGTGTATTTGACATTCAGCTGGTAAATATTGAAATTATTCCACTGCATGTATCATGTTTGCTTAGAATTGTAGCAACAAAAAAAATCCTGACCTAACATACCATCTTTTGTGTTTCTGGAAATGCACAATTTTATTTATGTTTTTACCTCAGCTTCAGTTCAGCAGATCTGCAACCCCTGCTTTCAGCTTCATCAATACTACTCTTGGGATGATGCCAACTCACTCATATAATTTAAATACACTGTATTAGAAAATCATGACAAAATAACTTTAAAAATTAAATAAAATCAAAGAGGATTAATAATATGCAATATAAAAACATTTACATACACAAATTACAGTATATTTAATGATGCTCAGAGTCTGAAGACGAGTGGAAGATTAATGTTACAAATCAATTACTGACCAATATAAAATGCTCAGATAATGAACACAAATTGGGACTTAAAGGTGGTACTGTACTTCATTTATTTATTTTTTTGTTATTCAAACTGAGTGGAAAATGCATCATATGCATGTGCTGCAGATAGATTTGAAGAATGACTAATATCAGCCTGTGCTGCTGTGTTGGCCATTACCACAAGGGGGTTCTCTGGTTCACACTCACTTTCAGTACCATTACTATTATTAGATGAGCTGCCTCTTGTGGCACTTTCTACTCTGATATCCTGCTCAGAAACCATGGCAGTTGTGCCTTCATTAGGCGTCATTACACTAGTGCCCTGGTGTTGGGTGATAGAGGTATTGTTCAAGGCAGCAGCCTCGGTTATAACAGTAGGTATATCTTCAGTGGTGGCTGGTACCTGATAGGTAACATATGTCCAACTATGAGATGGAGCCCCTAGGACAGACCCACCTGCTGTGCTAACACATCCTTCCCCCTGCAACATCTGACTGGGCAAAATCTGTCCCGGTAACAGATGATTAGACACAATATGACTGGATACAACACCTACAGAGTACAGCGTACCCACATTGGTGGTACTAGGCATTGGTGCTTGGCTAGTGTAAGTCCTGTCATGGCATAAAGAAAGCTCCCCTTGGTAGCCAGATACAGAGGCAGTTGTATCCACAAGATGCACATTCACACCACCTGGACGATTTATGCTGTCGTCATACTTTTCATCATCTAAACTACCAGGAAATTCCAGTTTGCCACCCTGATTATACATATAATGATTCACCGTTTCCTCTGGCAATCCCAGGGAAGCTGCCAAACTATTTGCCACAGTTGAGAGTGCTTCAGCCTCAGATGATGACTGACTGTTCATACTTGTCAATGCTTCACACATGCCCTCTACATTCAATTTTCCTTGTTCAATGTTTGAAGATAAATTAGTTTCTGTAACTTTATGTGCCTCACTTAACTCTATAGGTTTTGCCTCATGCTTACAACTTATTATTTGCTCTCCTGCTGATCCAGGGGCAATTTGTACTGTTGTCTGTATAGCTCTGTGACTGGACTTACAATGGGCTTTGAGATTATAAGAGCGAGCAAAAGTAAGAGGGCAATGTGGGCATTTGTGACTAATACTGGGTTTGTTCTGACAAAGTTTGGTCTGCATATGACCTTGAAGCGCTCCAAACGAACAAAATTCAACTCCGCATACTGAGCACGTGTAGTTATCAGCATTTGTGTGCTGTGAACGATGTTTTAAGAGAGCTGCATCATTCATAGCTACATGGTCACAAAGATCACATTTTGGAAATGTTACATTTCTTGGTATTTTATGTGCTCAGTATACGATAATGCTAATTCCAATTTCCGTCCTGGTCGGAAGCCACATATACTACACAGCCGAGTCTCACTTTTACTATGTACATCTTTCATGTGCTGCTGATAACTACAGTAATCACTGAACTCTAAAGGCTCATTTAAAAAGCAAGTATAACAGGCATATGGGACATTCTCAATGCTAGATAAAATTGTACTACTTTTATCTTTGTGTTCAGCCAACACATGCTTCTTAAATGTAAAGTATGTCAGAAATACTGTGTCTTCACATTCTGGACATTCAAAAGTCTGAGCACTATGTGTTGAACGAGGTAAAGTGTTTGATTCCATCTTTGAGACAGAACTTAAGGTAGTTTTGGAAAGTTTTGTACTAGTTTTGGTTTTAGAATCATTATCACTTAATACGAGATACTGAACTTTAGACTTCACTAGCTTTCCACCCCCACCCTTATCACTTCCCTTTTTCAGAATTTTGAGTCGAATATTTTTCTTATCTTTCACAAGGTGTGGATATTTTTTCAAAACTTCTGAAATGATTTTGGCATGATTAGACATATCTCCTTTATTAACTTGACCTTGATTAGCTGATTGACTGGAAAAGATGTCATCTTTTTTCTTCTTACCTCTCTCATTTTCCTGACAAGGTGACTCGCTAACCTTAGCCTCACAATCGTCCAGTGATAAATTCACCAAAACTTTGTTTTTCAAAGACAATGTTAATTTCACTGGGGATGAGGAGCTGCTACTTGACTTGAAACTTCCAACTGTTTTCTGAACTTCAATAAGAGACTGTGCTGGTTCCTTTGCATGTGAGTATGTTGCAACCTCATTGATTAGCTCATTATTCTCATCGAGTGGAAAAGATACACGTTTCTTAAATTTGTTGGTATTATTTTTATCTTTTTTCTTTTTTAGTATTGATTTTACTGGTACACTAGTATTACTTAAGACAAATGAATCTCTGCTATCTGAGGAATTTTCTCCTTCAGTGAAAGGTGAAACCTGGGAGTGATTATTTGTTGAAGGTATTTCACAATCCATCATTTCCATTTTGTAATCACATGAAACATAGACCTCTTTTCCATTTGGTTCATTTTCATCAGCATCTCTTTCCTCAAGCTGTTTACAAATGCTAGATATCTTTTCCATTAATTCTTCACCATCTTTCTCAATGTCATCATCCCCTATATTGTCATGGTCATCAATGGCCATTCTCTGTTCTTTGAAGGCTTTCAAGGTAGTAGTAGTAGTAGTACTGAAAGTACTATCTTGAATTCTATTAATAGTCCCTTCTTCTATTTTAGAATCTGCACTTTGCTCCTCAGAAAACCACTTGAGTAAAGGAGTGAAAATGGATCCTGAGATGATGAATTATGGTTAGAAGTCTTTAAAACTCACTGTCCCACTGCTTGAATTCAGAGAAAGGTTATATCTACTTGTACACAGTGGTGATCTGGATGAAGAAAAAAACAGTGAAACATCAAGAGGACTTAGAGGAAAATTGATTCTGTTGAAGAATATGAAGATGAACATGAGGTAATACCATCTTCACTATGAGCTGAAGTTGCCACAAAGAAAGGGGATAGTGATGAATTTTTAGATGACCAAGTAGCACTTCGCACAGGAGCATTTTCAGCATCTTCTTCAAGTTCAAATCTCGTTGGTCTGGCTTCTTTGGTTGGCTTTTTCCGCCTGAAAAATTGAAATATGCTTATTATTAGAAATGTAGTGAGCACCTTAAAAAACCATATAAACGTTATTGTAGTGCAATCAAGCAAGTTATTCTTAGATCACTTCTCCAGCAACTCAATGAGAGAAACAATTGTAGGAATTATTCTTGTTCAGTTAAATCCACATATCCACAGATTTGATTTCCGTGGTTTCAGCTATCCATGGTTTTACCGAGGCTCGAAAATAACCCTTAATTTTGCTTAATAATGGCACCAAAGCACAAAAGTAGTGATACTGACAGTTCTTCAAAACCGAAGAGAAACCATGAAGTGCTTCCCATCAGTGAAAAAGTGCTAATTCTCTATTTATTTATAGGGTTTGCTACTATCCACGGTTTCGGGTGTCCACGATAGGTATTGGAATGTGTTCCCCTGCAATACAGGGGGATTACTTATATATTTAATCCCTTTCAATTAACATGCAGGTTATTTTCTGAAAAGTGGTGCTTTAATAGTGTTAACTGGACTGAAATCTTATAGGTTTATTGTCTTTGGGAGTGAATTGGTTGGCAAAAGGGCTCTGAAAGAAGAGATGAACTGCAGAAAAAAACAATGGGAAAAGAGCAGGAGGCACAATGAGGTACATGTGGAAGAAAGAAGTTTTTCTATGAAGGTTAAAAGAACAATTTTACCAGATTATAGTGGTACAACACTTTTGTACGGTGTGACACATGGTCTTTTTAATGTTGTGGTGAGGATTAGGCTGGGTGTAGTGGAGATGTTCTGTTTGAATAGCAGAAAAATTCAAAGCGTGGCAACTAGAATACAGTGTAGGAGTGACTAAAGTATAATTTAAAGAGCTGAGGAGGAGTGGTTATCGAGATGGTTTAGATTTTAGAGCAGAATAGAATGACAAGGGAATATAAGGCTGTTACTGCTGGCTGCATTCAGTTGACATACAAACCACAACCCAACTGGTCAGGCAGTTTACACATGAGAACTTGTCCAGTTCCCACTGGAAAATAGCCAAAGATTGTTGGTAATTACCCTTATGTATGTATGGAGGGTGTTGAAGTTTGAGGACCTCTAACACTCACCTAGTTCTCCTTCATTTATTTGTTGTGCCCCTAACTTTTAATGGAGGTATTTTGCACCATCTGCAAAGTGTCTTGTTGTTATATGGAGTGATTCTTTGTGTTTGGGTTTGGTGACCAGTCTCTAGGATTTCCAGGAGTAAATTATTAGGTACCTTTCTCATTACATGCCAGGAACTCTTTGAAGGGACTTCAAAGAGTTCCTAGTTGTTCAGGTTCTTGATTAAGCATATATGGGCAGAGAAAGTTCTCTTGTACATTTTCCAGCTCAGCAATCTCAGCTGTCTTGAAGGGGGTCATTAGAATCAAACAAGTATTCTAGCTCAGCATCTTGTCCTGAAAGTTCTAGTTTTCAGGTTCTATTTGGGCCGTGTCCTGGAGGGGGAGGTACAGTGCCTGAACTCTAAAGAAGGGTGAGGGGTTACAGTCTGGAAGATCATCTAAACTGTCATTCAGCAACTTCTGGAAGAACAATAATTGAATGAATGATAGTTAAAAGTGTTTCCTTTTGTTTTGGATAACCCTATCTTGGTGGGAGACAGTCGGTGACAAAAGAAAAGGCTAAAAAATCAAAAAGAAAAATTTTACCTTACCTTAAATTTTTGGTTACTGTTGCTTGTTGTTAGGCAAGTGTGTGGAGAGGGTTGATGTGGCCCTGGCAATACCTATACAAACATGAAGCAGGCAGTATTTGGGGACCACCTTTATCACCTGCCATCAACATCAGTAAAAATAAGCCATATTTTCCCTTTCCAGATTGTGCCAAATATATTTGGAACTCACCACATTTTTTTCCCAAAAAAACATATATTGTACTAAATGAGAATGGGATTTGAAATGAAATAACCAAGAAAAAATCTGAAGTTACTGTAAAAAAATTAGTGTAGAAGGTGTTGTTGCTTTTAAACCCCTTTGAGGGTTTTCGTCGACTAGTACGTTTTACGCGTAGGGGTTTTTGACGTACTAGTACTCATAAATTCTAGCGGCCTCAAATCTAGTGGGAGAAAGCTGGTAGGCCTTCATATGAAAGAATGGGTCTATGTGGTCAGTGTGCACAGTCTAAAAAAAATCCTGCAGCACACAGTGCATAATGAGAAAAAAAAAACTTTGACCATTTTTTTTTTAATAAATCAGCGACTTTGCAGTGTATTTTCGTATGGTATTTTATTGTTGTATTCTAGTTTTCTTGGTCTCTTTTTTATAGAATGGAATACATATTACAGAAATTGAGATGATTTTGACTGGTTTTACAAAAAAAGGGCCCTTAAAATTTGAGCTCAAAGTAGCAGAAAATGTTCGATTTTTACCAAACTTCAAAGTAAACAAATCGTGCCAAGCGTGCAATACACGTCAACTGGTGATTCTAATATTCTTTACAAGTGCACCAATAATATTTATACCATTTTTTACACTAATGCAGTAGTCTGCATAACAGTAAATCTTTATATTTTTTGTGAAAATAAAAATTCAAAGTGGAAAGCAAAAGAATATAAGGGGGGACTTGAGACATGACTAATGACTAGAGGAAATGTCATTTAGTGCCAGGAATGTCTTTCTTGTTTATTCTGGACCCTTTCCCAAAATTTTTGGGCATCTTTTGAAATTTGTGTGAAATTGGCAAAAATTGCTAAATTCTGACCACTGTACTGGATAGTTGAATTTCATAAATGAGTGGTTTTTTGCATCCATTCGATAGAAAAAATGGAGTTCTAGCGAAATATTCATGTTTTTTGTCGACTAGTACAGTGAAATTGGCCGAAAATGGGGCTCAAATGGGCAAAATCGCCGATGCGTAAACATCGCCGAGACCGCTAACTTTGCGAGAGCATAATTCCGTAAGTTTTCTATCAAATTTCAAACTTTTGGTGTCTTATGATCGGGAAAAGATTCTCTATCTTTTTATAAGAGAAAATAATTTTTTTTTTTTAATTTGGCCGACCCCGAGAACGAGTTTCGGAGAGGGCCTGTCGACCCTCAAAAAGGGTTAAAATTGTGTGTGGGGGGAGGTTGTTGTTGCTTTTTAAGGGCTACAATGTCTTTTAGCCACATGAGTCCTGCTGCCAGTGGTGTGGAAAGATCAATATGGCTCAATACAGGTAAGTCTTGATGGTCCTCTAAACCACAGGCATAAATGAGTTCGTCAATGCTGAGCGACAGTCAACATAATTTCCTTCACTTCACAAATTTTTACATTTTTGTCCAGTTGGAGGAAAGGGGTAAAGGAGGTTTTGTGGGCGAGAGGCTTTGACTCCCAGCATGAGTGGGTGCGTCAGATAGAAGCAAGCAGAGGGGAGGCAAATGGTTTTTATGACTTGATTTGCTGTTGGAGTGTGAGCAAAGTAGCATTTGCGAAGGATTCAGGGAAACTGGTTAGCTGGACTTGAATCTTGGAGATGGGAAGTACAGTGCCTGCCGCTCTGAAGGAGGGGTGTAGATATACTGAAGTTTTTTAACTATAGTGTTGGCATGCCTCTGACAACACAGAAAAGGGAAAGTGAGTGACGATGAAAGTGTTCCTTCTTTTTTGGGTCACCTTTCCTCGGTGGGAGATGGCCAATGTGTTAAAAAAAAAAGTAACTTATTCACACTTTATTGTTAATCACCAACATATTCAACAATTGCAGATACACATAATAGGTACATAACTGTTAAAGACATGGAAGTGTGCAATTACACTCTAATTATGGGTTTATTATGCACTGCCTCTCAGCTTATTTGTTCAAACTTCATAGTGTGCATGATAGGCCAACTTTTCCCGAGCAATAAGGACCTGGATATAGTTCCTCAAAAGCATTTCATTGAAGATACTCTCTGGATGCACAGTAAATAGGATTCTCTTGTACATTTCTTTTTTTTTTCCAACCCCTTCTTTAAACATGTAATTAAAATAATGGTGCTGGAAACTATTTTTGACTCACTAATGATGCTTTTACCTAGTTTTGAGGAGCAACAGGAATATAATGGAGTTATTACTTAACAAATCTTTGTTGCACCACCCTTTTGATGTAAACCTGCTATTACATTAGAGAAGGTCCTTGTTAACCCTTTCAGGGTCGAGAGGCCCTCTCCTAAATTCGTTCTCAGGGTTGAAAATTTTCCGGAAAAAAAAAAAAACTTATGAAATAAAAGAGAATCTTTCCCGATCATAATGACACCAAAAGTATGAAATTTGATGGAAAACTTACGGAATTATGCTCTCGCGAAGTTAGCGCTCTCACTATGTTTACGCATCAGCGATTTCGCCCACTTCGAGCCCTATTTTTGGCCAATTCCTGTGTACTAATTGACATAAATTATATTTATTATGCTAGAACTCCATTTTTTTCTATTGAATGAATACAAGAAACCACCCATTTACCAATTTCAACTGTCCAATAAAGTGGTTAGAAATTTGGGAATTTTGCCAATTTCACACACATTTCAGAAGATGGCAATTTCCAAATAGAGTCCAGAATAAACAAGACAGTATTCCTGGCACTAAAATAACAAGTTCTCTGTTCGTTAGTCATGTCCCCAGGCCCCTCTTACATTTCTTCTTGCTTTCCACTTTGAATTTTTATTCTCACAAAAAAAAAAGATTTATTATTATGCAGACTATTACATTAGTGTAGAAATGTATAAATAATATGAGAGCACTTGTGAAAGAATATCAGACTCACCAGTTTGATGTTTATTGGATGCCTATCATGATTTATTTACTTTTGAACTTTGGTAAAAATCAAACATTTCTGCTACTTTGAGCTCAATTTTCAAGGTACTTTTCATTGTGAAACCAATCAAAAATCATCTCAATTTCTGTAATATGTCTTCCATTCTATAGAATGAGATCAGGAAAACTAGAATACAACCATAAATACCATACGAAAATACAGTGCAAAATTGCTGTTTTAATCCATAAACACGGTCAAAGTTTTTTTTTCTCATTACGCACTGTGTGCTGCAGGATTTTTTTTTTATACTGCGCACACTGACCATATAGACCCATTCTTTCATATGTAGGCCTACCAGCTTTCTCTCGCTAGATTTGAAGGCGCTAGAGTTTAGGCGTTCTAGTACGTCAATAACCCTGGTGCGTAAGCCGTACTAGTATGTCGGAAACCCTGAAAGGGTTAAATAACACCCTTGCACTTGATATATGACTCATGCTGTAAAGTTCGAGTGGCTCACCCTACCGAGGCGGGGTGGCCCAAAAGGAAAAACGAAAGTTTCTCCTTTTATATTTGGAAATTTACAGTGGATCCCCGAGTTTCGTGAGTAATCCGTTCCAGAGAGCCTGCCGAAAGTTGAAATTCACGAAACTTGAAACCATTTTCCCCCATAAGAAATAATGGAAATAAAATTAATCCGTTCCAGACACCCAAAAATATTAAAATAAAATTTTTTTTTTTCAAATTAAATAAAGATTTATATACTGAAATCAATGAGAAATCAAGTACATGCATATACAAAATAATAATAACATTACACTTACCTTTACTGAAGACTTCTGGGTGGATGGAAGACAGGAGGAGGAGATGGGAGGAAGGTGTACACTATTGTTTGGAAGGAGAATCTCCTTCCATTAGGACTTTAGGTAGCAAGTCCTTATCTGGGGTTACTTCCCTTCTTCTTTTAATGCCACTGGGAACAACTTGAGAGTCACTGGACCCCTGTCGCACAAAATATCTGTCCAGAGAGGTCTTTTTCTGTGTTTTCTTTAAGATTTTCCTGAAGTGGGACACAACAATGTCATTGTACATGTTGCAGATATGGCGTGTTTCAGCTTGGTCAGGGTGATACTTTCCAACAAAACTTTGCAACTCATTCCACTTGGCACAAATCTCCTTAATCTTTGAAGAAGGCACCTCATCCACTCCCTCTTCCTCCTCCTCTGGAGAAAGTTCCTCGGCTGTGGTCTGATGCTGTTCCAGTTGAAGCTCTTGCAGTTTGTCAGTGGTTAGCTTCTTCCCTGTGGTCCTCCACCAACTCGTCCACATCCCCGTCACTCACCTCCAACCCCATGGACTTGCCCAATGCCACAACACCTTCCACAACAGGCAAAAGGATCGGCAGGGAAAGGGTCTGCCTCAAACCCTTCAAAATCCCTCTGGATCGTGTTCCTCACTTTATTTACCAAAGGGCTTGGGGGCCCAGACATTTCAACATCTTACCAGAAGATATCAGAAACACTGCTGGAACAAGTGTAGAAGCCTTCAGGAGGAAACTGGACAAGTATTTCACCAGGTGCCAGATCAACCAGGCTGTGATGGATATGTGGGCAAACGGGCCTCCAGCAGCAACAGCCTGGTTGACCAGGCAAGCACCAGACGAGCCTGGCCCATGACCGGGCTAGAGAGTAGATAAACACTCAAAACTCTTCAAAGGTATATCAGAGGGTCAGCAGCTGTGACAGGCATGATTGTCCTGCTCTAAAACCATGCTGGTTCGGGTTATGCTGGTCCATGAAATTTGTAATATGCCTTCTCATCACGCTTTCAGATTTTTATGATGTGAGAAGTTAGGGCTACTGGTCTGTAATTTTTAACTAGTGTTCTACTACTACCTCCCTTAAGCAAAGGAGCTATGTCTGCACTCTTTAAGGCCTCCAGTATTTCACCTAGATCTAAGCTCTTTCTCCAAAGAATACTGAGGACTTGTGCTAGTGGTACTTTGCACTTCTTTATAATAGAGCATTCCATGAATCTGATCCACATGCAGAGTGGGCAAGTTGTTCATTCTTTTTCAAAAGCTATGGGATTTGTACTAATGTCAATTAGTTGGTCTGCACAGCCTTCTGCTATTATTAAAT